AGGTTGTTTTCATTGTCTCAAGTGGGTTATGCGGATTCAGAGAGGAGTTCCTCCTCTAGGGCTTTGGAGGTCAGAGCCCTGGGCTCTCTTCCTTCCAGAGTTCTTGTAGACAGTGTGCACCAGCAGTGTCCTGAGGCTTTTGAGGAGGAATGGAGTCCTTGGCCCAAGGACATGCTGCTTTGGCATCCAGTGTGCTGGGAGACCCCTTCTGCGTGACTGCTGGAAGCAGCAGGTGGGCAGTAGAGTCTTCTGCCAGCAGGCCTCTACTCTCTTAAATCAAATAGGAAGGTCCAGACAGGCATCTGCTGCTTGCCCACCCTGTAAGTCCATTTTTTAATCCGATACATTTGGGATCCCCAGTGCTGTCCCTTAGGTGGCTGGGCCAGCAGGTGCTCACCAGCAGGACTCCAGGCCTCAGAACTCAGTAGCCTGTAAGTAAGGCCTGTGCTCACTCCTGGGGACTAGAGAAGCCTCCTGTACAAAGAAGTCAGATCACCAGCCTCAGAATTATTTTTCTTGAAAGAAAAGCTAGAAATGAATTTTTAATGGAGCACTGAAGAGCATTTTTGTTCTTTCTGTGCTATTTGTTTACATCTTTCCCAACAACGCAGCTACCTAGGCGTGTGCAGCCTGCGGGCTTGCAGGGCCCATGGGAATGCCTGTGCAAATATCATTTCAGCTCCTAAAATATCTGTGGAGAGGCATAGACACCCACTTTTTTTTTCTGAAAGCCAAAGCAGAAGTTCCTTTGCAGCTTTCTGCCACCGCAAAGCTGCTGTCCCATTCCACCCCTGCCCAGGGACAGACTCAGAGAGTGGCAGTAGTTCTGTGACCTGCAAGGAGGAGCCTGAACCCAAAAAGGGATAGACTTGAGGGATGTCAACAGGATTAATGTTTGCACCTTGGTACCCCCTCCTCCATAGATGACAGACTACCCTGTGTTCAGGACAGATTTCTGTCTCCATTGAGTCTTCTGGTGGGGGAGGGTAAGAAATCCTATCTGGAGACATTCCTCTTTCTGCTTCAGCCCAGGCTGGTACCCAGGTGACAGGATCATCTGAAGCACAGGCCTTCTAGATTCCTGGCCTGAGGACTTGGGGAGTGGGCCCAGGCCCCACCCCGATTGTGACCTGCAGGAGTCTCTGCTCCCACCACTCTTCCCTCCCCCCTCCCATCAATTATATTCCCAGCACATTTATCTCGCCTGCAATATGGAGAATTCATATTCATATCTTGGTTTTAGTGGTTTGACACTGATTAATGTCATACGTGCATTGGCTCCGAGGGGCGCGCCACCAGATGAATCATGCCCTATAAAGTTTCAGTTGTCCTTGTAGATGGGACTCTATCAGAGCTCAGAAGCCAAGAAGGGGGGGTGGGGGGGGGAGGAAAGAGGGAGGGAGAAGGAAAGAAAAGGAGAGAGGGAGGGCAGGGTGGGCTGTGGTTCCCAGGTGCCCTTGGCCCTATGTGGGAGGCTGGGAACCCTGGCCCCTTTGCCAGAACTCTTCTCCCCAGCTGGGCACTTCCATTTCAGTCCTCCTCAGCCTCCCTCTTCCCTTCCCTTCCAGATGGTTCCTCTCAAGGCAGGCTCAGGGTGAGGCTGGGCCTTCCAGGTCTTTACATTGGGTTTATGGACACTGATTTGGGGACATTGAAGCCCTCAATACTCTCCAGAAAGTGACAGGGTTCGGTTTGCCAGCAGGAATATGGTTTTGAAAAGTTTGGGGGTGGGGTTTGACAGGAGGGAAGGAAGCCCAGTCCAAGGAGGGTTGCTGGGTAGGGGGGTTCCTTGAAGGTTTGGGGTGCCTGGGCCTTGGGAACTTGGAAGGCCCTAAGGGACTCCATAGGTCTGCTGGCAGCCTGTGCTGCATGGCCACATCGCAGAACCCAGCACTGATGAGTCAGCTGGGCTTCCAGAACCCCAAAGGAGAATCTGTGGGGTACCAGACACTGAGTTCAAGCCTTGTGGCCCTGCAGTTCGCCAGGTCCCAGAGGTGTCCTGGTGAATATTCTTGCCATATCTAGCTGGCCTGGACCTGGCTCCAGGCATAGAGGGCAAGCAGGGAAGGGGGTGGCTGAAGTCTGCAATCCAGGGTGGATGGCCAGTAGACAGCTAGGAGGTAGGGCCTCTGTGCTTTGGGAATGATGGCCCTCCCAGCTGCCTGGAGATGTCCCTGAGCCTGTGTGAAGGAGCAACCTCCAACCCTCAAACATTTCCTTGGCTACGGCTGCCCACCCCAGGGATCAGATGAATGGTCTCCAAGTAAAAAGTCCCCAGTGATCGGGTGCTTGCTCAGCTGGGGAGGGAGAACTTCCCATGTCTGGTGGAGCTAGGGGCTCTAATTATAGCTCCGGAGCTGAAAGGCCACAGAAGGTCACCCCTGGGGACTGCTGGGGGCCTTTTGTGCCCCTGCTTCTGAAGCTGGATATAGATCCTCTTCCCTCCCACTAAGGACCTCTGAGAATGGGCCCTCTGAGGGCAGCTGGCTTGTCAGCGCAGAAAGCACTGGATGTAGGACCCACAGTACAGTTTGAGGCCCATGACAATGTTTTAATTTATTTTTAAATGAAAAGAAAACAGGAACTTTTAGGTGGAAGACAATGTGTTAATATATAATATCAATTTATTCATCTTCAACCAATACAGTTGTGACATTTATTGTTTAACATTTGTTTTCAGTGGAGGGAGAGGTCCAACACCCAGGAAAGTCACTTTGTGGCCCAGGCCAAGGAGATCCTGGAGCTGCCTAAAATCCTGGAATTGCTTTAAATGGGAAGTCAGAGAATTGAGGTGGTCCCTGAACCTAGGAGCTCCCCCACACTTTCCCGCTCCCCGGTGGACCTTGCCATCTCACATTCAGGCAGCAGGGACTCATGGCGCTGAGGCCAAGTTTCCAGAGCCCCCAAGCTGTTGACCTGAACCTCCCTGCCCTGGGGAAGCAGGCAGAGGCCAGAGTCAGGGCGGATCCGCCTACCTCAGCTCCCTGCCCCACATGACGTCCTGGGAAGGAAAGGCCAGTACTTCCAGGCAGGCAAAGGGCAGTGGTCGGGGTGGGAGCAGAGGCCAAGCAGCCCCCTACCCACCTCGTGAGGGGCACAAGGGGCAGCCCTTTCTGCGCGCTGCTGTTTGGCTTCTGAGGACGCCGCGGGGTCTCTGATCCCCTAATCCATTTATCCAGAGTCTTGAGTGCTCGGGCTGAATGCGGAGACACAATGGCCTGGGCTGCAACAGGGGGCTGGTGGGGGAAAGTGGCTACCCAGAGACCCCGCCTCCGGATTCCGATCACATCTCCCCCATCGCCACCGTCCCTGCTGGCGCGGGGTCCGAGCTTGGTGGCAGAAATCACGCTTATAGTGTAAATCATCTAAACGGACGGTTTCTCTGCTGCGCGTTTGCAGTTTGAGCCGAGGCGCTCCTGGGGGGTGAGTTGGATTGGGGGGCG